AGCCCGGAAGACCCACACCAGCCATCGTATGCCGGCCGTGAAAGCCTTCGACAATACATATCAGTAACACTTCCTGCACTATGAAATACTGTAGCTTTCCTGCTTATTCTATTGACCACTGACCTATTGTACAATAGTAACTTTATATTCATGGTTCCCTGCTCTTATATGTCTCAAGGATGAGAGAACTTGACTACATATCTTTATGCACATTTAAACATTCTCTGTTGAATTATATGTTGGTGTGAGAGCTAATTTTGGTGTAAAGTGATATTAGTATGATTTCTACAAATTTCACATTAAGCTGACTGTAGCGGAAGAATGGTTTCTGTAAAATATTATTTCAGTAGATATTAAATATTCTCTGATTTCTAATAAAGCTTGTGAGATTTTTCTTTAAGGGACAAATATATTTCTGGTTACTCAACACATAAAATAGATAAGGAAATTATTTTTGTAATATTTAAGGTCCGAATCTTTTAATGTCCATTAAACTATATTTAAAGCTATATCTAGGCATTGTCATCTTCATCCCATTATGAGAGGAAGCTGTACCATTTACTGACAAAGACATCTGTAGCATATATTCTTTTTTGTTGTTGTGCCTTTTAGGTTACCATGGTCTCTATTGTGAGGAGGAATATAATGAGTGTCTTTCAGCCCCTTGTCAGAATGGAGCTACCTGCCGAGACCTTGTCAGTAGCTATGACTGTGTATGTCTTCTTGAGTATGAGGGTGAGCAATATTATATTTTAGTAGATTATAGATTTCTGTACATCCTCCTAATCAATGTGAGTATGTGCATAATTTAAAGGTCATCATTTGCTAGATAAATCTCTTTGTGGACATTTCAGAATCTAGTGCTAGACAGATTTGGATGGAACATCATTTTTCCCTTGGACTTACCCTAGTAGTTGGCCTAAATTAAAAATGATAGATTGATAATTGCCTTGGTTTTGGAACACAGATAGTGAAATTAGCTGAATAGGATGAGAATTTGTATATGATCTAAAGAGAATTACTCCAATGGAGAGCCGCAATTAAATGAATGTGCAGGAGAAGCAGTTTGTCATTCAGAGAAGGTATAGTATGTTTTTAAAAACAAAAACTACTTGGAAATAGTGAGACTTTTAATAGATAAATGGGTATACATCTAATTGTACAGTTTATATGCATATATTATTTTTGTCACAAAAAATAAAGGAAAAAACAAAGACTTTTCAATGCTGGTCAAAAAGAGCAAGGAAATACCCCTTGTAGAATTGCTGGTTGTGATTCCACAGATAACAAAGTAAAATAGTAAATTGTGGGCTGTCAAAACCAGAAACCTGCACCCCCCTTTTGAAAGTGTAGACCACCATTATGCCATCTCCTATCCTTAAAAGGTTTCATTGTATACCCAGCTGGACCTAGATGAGTGAGGGACTCAAATTGGTGCTTGCTCTACTATATCAGCAACCATAAAAAGTTAGAGCAGGGTTCCTCAACCTTGGCAACTTTAAGCAACCTTGCTGGCTGGGGAATTCTGGGAGTTGAAGTCCACCCGTCTTAAAGTTGTCAAGGTTGAAGAACCCTGAGTTAGAGGAATTACTCTCTTCAGGTTTACCCTTCAGTACCATCTTAAGTTCTTCAAAAGAGCATGCCAAATGTTAAGTATTAATGTCATTGGAGCATGATCAGAAATAACCACAGAATGTATATTCAAGTATGTAACACAATGCACTACTGAAGAAGAAACCAAAAAATAATATATTCTAAATAAACTTTAGCATGTGGAAAAAAATGATCAGTTGCATGTTAATGCCACCATATTTTTTATATCCTGATGCTTTTCTCCCTCCCCCATCCTCTGAGATTATTGCAATGTACTGTACATGAGGCTGGCGTTGAAGCTAACTTGGAAGCTGCAACTGGTCCAAAATATGGCAGCATGGGCAGGTATGGGCATGTCACAGTTTGCCCGTGTAACATCTCTGCTCCATGAGCTGCACTGGTTCTCAGTAGGCTTCCTAGTGCAATTCCTGGTGCTAGTTATCACCTATAAGACCCTTTATAGCATAGGGCCTGGATATCTGAGGGACTGTCTGTCTCCTGTCCTATGAAATTGTATACCCCCAGAGATTCTTAAAACCTGGGTTCTCCTCTAGGCCTTGAGCTAGATTGGGTGGTGAACCCCTTGTGGGAATGCTTTTGGGTCAGAGGTGTTTGTTTTGCTCTTTTCCAGATGTTCATAATTTTTCTTCATTATATGTTTGTTTCAGTTTGCTTTTACTATTGTGTGCTGCCCAGGTTTGTCATGGAGTTGGGCAACCTTGCAAATTTTCTAAATAAATGAGTAAATAAATAAATTATCCTTTATTATTCTCAGGAAGACACTGTGAATTATACAAAGATCCTTGTGTAAACATCAGCTGTCAGAATGGTGGGACTTGTGACAGTGAAGGGCTAAATGCTACCTGTATCTGTGCACCTGGATTTACAGGTAAGTTGTCTGAAAATTGCGTAAGATGCAGAAATGCTTATAAAAATGCAGAAGTAAAACAAATGTAAGATATATTAATTTGCACCTGCATTTATTATTATTCCAACAAATTAATGGGCAGTTTTGATAATAATACTTTATTCTGAACTAAAAGAAATATATAGCAGAAATGATATTCATGATACATATGGTAAAAAGTAGATGAAAGTGAAAAGGCTTCCATAAAATGAACTCAAAATTGCCATTTAGAATTGGCAACCTTAATATATGCTTCCTTTTATTCGTACTGATTCATGCATCTCTTTTTGATCGATTGGCATGTTTATCTCTTCAAAAAACCTTTTCACATTTGGGAAGTTTTTTTGTAGGTGGGGCAAGGAGGATGAATAGTTTGGCATGTTTTTCAAAGTAACAAAAATGTAAGGAATCCAACCACAGATTTCTGCTGCCCTGTCTGTTTTGGCCCTTTAAAGCAGCCTCCTCAAAGCTGGGATTCTACAGAGAAGCTTAGTAAATCTAACTGGGCCAGCAGTGACTAGATGTTTGTTTATTATTTATTTATTTCATCAAATTTATATGGCTGCCCATCTCATGAAAAGGTGACTCTGGGTGGTGTACAACAATGGGAAGTTATGTTATGGGAAGTGCAACGGACACATGTGAAGGACACCAGTTTGGGGAAGATGGTTTCAGAAATTGACTTCCTAGAATATCCTCCTGCTTCAGAATTCTTCAGAGCAAATTCTCTTGAAAGAGACATTTTCAAAAGAAGCTTGGAAAGAAACAGGGTCTTTGTCATAATGATTCCGGGAATGACTTCCTTGATACAGTTAACCAATAAGCTTCAGTATTTCATGAAGCTAATAAATCTTTCCTCGCAGACATTGGTTAAAATTATAATAGGGTTGTTGGGTTTTTTGCCACTACTTTTTGTCTTTGCCTTTTATACAGTATTTTGTTTTAGCTAGCTTTGTTCCTTGTTGGTTTTTAAGGTTTATGTTATTTTTTTTGTGAGTGATATTTTCCAGGTCATTTATTTTATTTTATTCATTTATATATCAAATTTGTCACCGCCCATCTCGTTAAAAAGCGGCTCTGGACAGTTTGCATTCTCTTGGTTTATCATTTGGATTTCCCTTTTAGTTTTTAAAACTTCAGCTAGTTTCTTTTGTATATCAGGTAAAGTGTCCTTTTCCAAATCATTCTCTTGGCCTGTCATTGTAGTTCCACTTTTGATACTTTCTCTGTCTTGTCAGATAAAATTTGTTCCACATCTGTCATTCCTTCATTAACAT